CCAGCACCGGTGAGACAGGCTGAATCCAAACCGGTCCCTGGGTGCCCCAGTCTCTGCCAACGCAGACGTGCTGTCGGGGGGTCCGCAGGAGCGTAAGGGGCAGTCCAGGGAAGAAAGGAGGGGATGTGAGCCTAACAGCAGGAAGCCAACCAGGCAGAAGTGGGCGGAGCGCGCGCCCGCCTGCTCTGGTGAGGGGGCCGCACCTCCTTTCAGGACGGACCAGAGTCGAGCCTCCTGGAGCCGCCCTGCTGGCTCAGTCGCGCTCCCGCCGACCCCGGCCTCCCCCGAAGATCATAGCTGTGAGAATGCAGGCTGTGCGTGGAGGCTGTTCTCACAGGGGTGCGGTGTGTGTGGGTCGAGCCGTTAGAGCAGATCTACCGGACTCCCATGTACCCTCCCCTGGAGGGGGTCGGGCAGCACTGGGGGGCATCTGTCCCACGCATCAATGAGAAGCACAGACAGACACAGCCACGTGCAGCTCTCCTCCAACAGCACTCTGAAAGCACATTCGTGTATACAGACGTCCCCACGCCAGGCTCAAAGCACACTCTCGTGTGTACAGGCGTCCCTGTGCTGGAAATACACACCTCAGACTTGGAGGGCTGCCTGGCTTCGTAGAGGCAAGCAGGATGTGTTGGTAGGCGTGCAGGGCAGGGATTTGCAGTGAGAGCAAACGTGGGGAGACACGCTCGTAAGCCACCAAGCCACAAGAATGGACGTGATGACATGATCTGGGAGCCCACAGTCACAGGGCAGAGGTGACACCCTACACACCATCTGCCCATCTGTCTGGTGTTTCTCCGAGACGAGACGTGCGTGTGCACGGAAGCAGCCACTTTATGAATCTGGAAAGCAGACGGAACTGGTTCTGTCTGTAGAACTCGGCCTGCAATTTCATCCACCCTACAACACCGGCTGTGGCAGGTATGGTAAGATGCAGGCTGAGTCCAGAACTCCTCTACAGCAGCGCTGAGGGTTCGTAGGCTCCAGCTCTGTGCCCGGCCCTGAGAAGATTACACTGTAGAAGGCAGCGCGCCTAGCAGACAGGCGAACACAGCAACGTGACAGAGGGAGTCACGACAGCTACGAGGACCTGTCGGGCCGTGTGCAAAGACAGGAGTGCGCGGGGAGGCCTCTCTGAGCAGCAAGGCTGGAGCAAAGTCCTGGAGACCCCAGGGTCCAGCGGGAGCAGAGGACGGCCAGGCCCAGGCCAGACAAAGAGCAGGGCGGGTGGCGAGGTGGGGGGGGCAGGGTGGAGGGGGTGGGGCTGGGCCCCAGGCTGTGGCAGCGCTCACAGAGGGGCTTCAACGGACCAGGAGCAGGAAGATCAAAACCAAGCTTTGCACTTCAAATGAAGTGATGGATTTCACGGTAACGTAAAGAGTGATTTCTGCAACATAAAGATTCATCAGAGTGGGGTCTTCTGGAGAATGAACTGTTCCCACATCTAGGCTGTGTGAGTCACTCTGATGTGCTGTCAAAACATTCTGCCCGATGTTAGGAAAGTATGAAAAAACATAGCAAGTTTACTGCGGGCAACTCGTCGCCGCGTGGAGGGTGCGGGCGGTCGAAACCGGTGCTCTCACCAGTGTCCTGCTGAGGCCAGAAGTGACCTTGAAAGCAAAGACCACAGTTCTGATGCCGGAAACACAGCTGTGCCGGCACAGAGGGCCAGGTCTAGAAGGAGAGCTCAGCTTCACCCGCCAAAGGACTGTCACTAGCCAATGAACTCGGTACAAAGGACACAAACTCAACATACAAAAATCTGTTGCATTTTTATACAATAACAACCTGAAAAACAACAACAAAGAAAACAATCCCGTTTACAACTGCATCAAAAATAAAATACTTAGGAAAAAACACAGCCAGGAAGGTGAAAGCCCTGCGCACTGACAATGATAAGAGACTGATGAAAGAAATTGAAGGCTCCAAAATTAAAGGAAACGTATTCCACGTTCACGGACTGGAAGAACTGATGTAGTAGAAATGTCCACACTACCTGAAGCCATGTACAGACTGAATGAAATCCCTATCAAAATCCCAAGCGCGTTTTCCACTGGAAATAGAGAAAACAACTGTATGGACCGCAAAAGACCCCTAACCGCCAAGGCATTCTTGAACAGGAACAATGCTGGGTCAAGAATCACGCTTCCTGATTTCAAACTGTATCACAAAGCTTAACTTGCCAGAGCTGCATGGTGCTGGCATAGAGACACATCAGGGCCCCAGGCTGGCTCCGCCGGTGGAGCGTGCAATTGGGGTCGTGAGTTCAACCCCCACGATGGGCGCAGAGACTATTTAAAGCAAACAAGCAAACAGAAACCAGACACACATCAATGGAACAGAATGGAGAGCCCAGAAATAAACCCATGCGTATACGGTCAATTATATCAAAGGAGGTAAGAACACACAAAGGAGAAAAGGCAGCCTCTTCAATCAATGGTGTTGGACAAATCAGCCAGCCACATACAGTAGAGAGAAGCTGGACACAAAATAACTCCAAATGGAAGAAAGACTCAAAATCATAAAGCTCCTGGAAGGAAACACGAGAATAAAGCTCCTTGACACGGGGTCTCACTCACATCACAGACACAAGATCAAAAACAGTGGGACCATACCAGCTAAAAAGCTTCCACAAAGCAAAATAAATCACCAACAAAGTGAAAGAACAGCCTACGAGAACGAGAAACAGTATTTGCAAGCCACTTATCTGATGAGGGATTAATATCCAAAATATGTCAGGAATTCACACAACTCAATAGCGAGACCCAAACAATCCAATTTAAAAAAGGGCAATTCCTGACTAGACATTTTCCAAACGATGACATCCAGACGGCCGACAGGGACATGACCGTGCTCGGTGCCACTCACCATCAGGGACATGCAGACCCAGCACGGAGGTATCACGTCCCACCTCTTAGAAGGAGTCATCAAAAGCACAGCTGGTAACAAGGGTCAGCGAGGGTGGGGAAAGGGACCCGCGTGCACTGCTGGTGGGGATGCAAACCGGCGGGGCCGCTGTGGAGCACAGCACGGAGGCCCCTCAAAGAACCGAAGAAGAACTACCACGTGATCCGCAGCCACTGCTGGGTAAACGTCCAAACGAAACGCAAGCACGTCCGCGCTCCCCTGTTCACCGCAGCTTCCTTCTCGATAGGAAGGCGTGGAAGGCGGCTGAGCGCCCGCTGGCGGGTGAGGAAGGTGGTCAGCCATACGACAGATGAGAGACAGGGACGTCCCGCCATTTGTGAGAACATGGATGGACCCTGAGGAGTTATGCTCAGTGAAGTCAGACACAGACAGACTCTCGTCCTTACTGTGCATTCCTACTCACGTGTAGAATCTAAAAGAACCAAACACCTAGAGACAGAGAGGAGAAGGCTGTTTGCCACGTGCTGCGGGTGGAGGAAATGGCAAGACGTTGGTCCGATGGTGCAGATTTCCAGTCCTGAGGCGAGGCGGTGTCGGGGCCTGAGGTGGAGCGCCGGGCCCGCAGCTCACACTGTCACGTCCCTGACAGGTGCCGAGAGGGCTGCTCTTCGAGGCTCGCCCCGCACGCGGGGGACGCACGTATGTGAGGTAATCCTGGTGTTAACCAGCTTCATCAAGGCAGTAATTCTGCAACACGTGCACGGACCCAGTCATCACACTGTGTACTCGAGCATATGCAACGTCACGTGTCAACTACAGCCCAATAAAGCTGGAAAAAATATAAAATAAGAGGCTTCCACTAAAAAAATAAAAGAAATTAAGAAAGGATGGACGTCGTCAAGAGTGCGAATCCTCCAACCGCAGAACGGGGAGCACGTGCAGGTCAGCCGTCGCACAGGGGCCTGCGCCTAGAACACGCACGGAACTCAGTGCTAGGGCCGACCTCTAAATAATGGGCAAAGGATCTGAAGAGACATTTCTCCAAAGAACATATACCAAGAAGCAGTGAAAAGAGGCTCGACATCATCCGTCATCAGGAAGCCGGAGAGCAAAGCGTCTCACAGCCAATGGGTGTGGCTACGCTAAGACAGACGGACAACAGCAGGTAGCGTGGAGGGAAGTGGGTCCCTCACACACCTCTGATGGGAATGTACCACGATGCGGCTACTTTGGAAGATTCTAGAAACTCCTCAAAAGGCTAAACATAGCTGCCACACGACCCAGCAGTTCCACTCCTGGCTCTATGCCCGAGGGAAATGAACACCGTTTCTGCACAAACACCTGTACGCAAATGCCCGTACTTGTGACAGAGACGACCTAACCGTCCGCCGACAGGACAGGGAACGACGCGCTGTCTGTGCCTCAGCCGACGCAGGCACGCTGGGTGCGCCGCAGAGACCTCGCTGGGCAGGCGCGGCCTGCTCTCCGTCCAGGGTGGGCGCAGCCCTGGAGACCACGAGGATGGGTGGCTGCCGGGAGCCGGGAGGCGTCTGGGGGTCATGAGGACTGACTGCTAATGGGCGCGAATATGGATTTCTTTCTGAGGCACAAAAGTGCTTTAAAGTTGTGATGGGGCCGCCACTCTGAAACTGCCGCAAGCCACAGACCTTCCGCTGCGAACAGCCGTGCTACAGGGCACGTGCGTTCCGTCCCGTTAGGCTGGGGACAGACACACACGCTGCCTCCGCTTCTGGGATCTTCTCACCGGGACGTGTCCTGCTCTGGGCCTCAAACAGGCACACGCATGCCCTGAACGAGAAGGGTGCGTCCTCCCTGGCCGCCAGGCCGCCACACCCGCAGCCCCCGTGGACCAGCCCCCCAGGGAGGCTCGGGTCCCGCACTCCAGCCGTGATGGCGACCTCCCCCCTCTGCCAACGCGGGGGGACTGGGAATCGGGAGCCTTCCTCCCGCAGGGCAGCGACGAGGTGCACGGGGCCTGTTCTGGACGGGCTGGCACCCCCTCACCCCCAAACACCGGCACTTCTCCCTCGAGGGTGCGGAGCAGGTGGGACCAGGGCGAGTCCCTCCTCTGGCCGGGGTCCTGGGGGGCGGGCGGGGGCACGACCTACCTGGGTGGCTGCGGGGAGCGGGGCTTCGGCTTCTCCTTCTCCTTCTCGCGCTCCTTCTCCCGGTCGCGGTCTCTGTGCTGTCGGTCCTTCTCGTCGCGCTTGGCTCGCTCTCTCTCCCACTCTTCCTTCCTCCGCTGCCGCTCCTTGTCCCGCTCGCGCTCGCGCTCGCGCTCGCGCTCCCGCTGCCGGCGCTCCCGCTCTCGGTCCCGCTCCCGCTCCCGCTCCCGCTCCCGCTGCCGGTTCTCGCGCTCGCGCTCGCGCTCCCGGTCCTGAACCAAACACACGCGCTGGGTGGCGGCGCCGGCAGCGGGAGGCCGCGGGGGCCCTGACACACTGGCTCTGCCCCCGGGTGCCCCCTCCGGGCCGCGACCAGCCCAGGACACAGCGGGTCCGGGTTCAGCACCGGCCCGCCTCCCCCCGCCCGCGCCTCCTTTGGGGGTGGACACGACCCAGCCAGGCGGGCCGGCCCGAGTCTGGAGCAGCGCGGGGCACGGCCCCCGCCTGCCTGAGCGCGAGCCTCAAGCACCTTCCCGAGCGACCACTCGGCTCTCCCCCATCCGTCTGCTCTGATACTCAAAGGCAAATGCGACAAAGCCCAAATCACAGCACGAACAGGGGCTTCAGGCTTCAAGCGGCCTGTGACGCAACGAAGTGCGCCCCTGCCCTTCCGCTGGCCCGCGGCCTTGGGCGCAGTGGGGGACAAGCGGTGGAAAGGGGCTCCAACAAGTCGCTCCTTCCTTCAAGGAGACCCTGCTCGGCAGGCCGCACCCGTACCCGGCAGCCCAGCCCCACCAAGGCACCTGCTCTACGGGAAGACGGGCACAGGACCGCCAGCCAGGGTCCCCTGGTCTCCGCCAGCTCTCCCCGCCACGGGTTCCCGGGGCAGTCACTTCCCTTGGGCCCTGAAAACTCACCACTCTGTCCCAAAGTCATGGGACAAAAACTACTCAACTGCCTCTCCCTGACCCCCTCCCTCCTCTTCCTCGAGGCAGCTATCCCCACCAGTCTGAGAACAGCAGGGACTCAAGGGCTGACGCACACCTGTTCAGAGAAGCACGGGCACAGAGCAGCCTGACACAGTTGGGGGGGGGTCCCTAAAGCGGGTAAGGATGGCACGGTTTCAGCAGCACCGCTGGAAAACCTGAAGGAGTAACACGCTCGGGAGGGCAGAGCACGATCCCGTGCAGGCCGGTGTCAACAATCCAGTCGGCAAACCTACCGTTTACACAAACCAGCGAGGGCAGAGAACCACGGAAGGGAGTCTGTTCAAACCACCACCAATTTAATCTGTGGATCCGAACTGCTTCTCCACAAACAGCCGAGGCTGCACACTGCTACACTGCGCCAGCACTGCTACACCCACAAAGTCCCACAGGTGAAAAGGGGGTAATCCTAAGAAACGGGCCAGCGCAGGGAGACTCACCCGGTAATTGTGGTACGGCTCCGTCTCCGTGTACTGCACCCGGAAGTTCTCGTACTGCCCACCACGCCAGAAACGCTCGATTTCATAGTCGTAGTACGGATCTGCGTAAGGCTCCAGGCTGAAAAATGAGCAAGTAAAAGGCAAACCTTATCACTTAGGAATATTAAGGCAAAATAACTACATAAAATGTTAGCAAACAGAATCTGACACCACATTAAGAAATAAAATACACTATGACTCAGTGGGATTTATTCCAGGAATTCAAGGATGAGTCAGAAGGAGGAAATTCGTGACTACACCACACGCATAATGACAGACCTGAGAAGAAAACCACACAGGATCGCACCTACGATGACAAACACAGCAAGGAACTGGAGACGACACTTCCCTAACGAGACTAAACTCACACACACGTCAGAACGAAAGCCAGCCTCTCGCTCCACGGGAGCAGAGGGGCATTTCTGTAAGGCCGGGCAAAGGCGAGGCGCCGTGGCCCCCGTGACCACCCACCAGCGGGACGGAGGCGCGACTGCCCCCATCAGACGAAAGAAGCCGCGGGAGGACGGGCGCGGAGGAAGAGAACGCGCCCTGCCCACTAGAGGGCGCCAGCCCCAGGCCCGGCAAAGCCGATCGGCAGCCAGAGGGCCAGGGAGGCGCGAGACGGACGCTACCACGCACACAGGCAACCGCGCAGGACGCGGAGCCGAGAAGCCCTCTTTTACAGCAGCAGGAAGGGGAAACACCGAGGAACAGAGTGTGTCGAACCAGAAATGAGCAGAACCCACGTGAGAAGAGCTGTGACACAATCCCGAGAGCACAGAGCGTGTGACACACGGGACACTGGTCCCGGTCTCCAGCCAGGACTGGACACTGCCCCAAGGTCAGCTCCCTCCATTAATTCACCATCATAGGGCAGGGGCGCCTGGGGGCTCAGTCGGTGAGAGTCCGACTTCGGCTCAGGTCATGATCTCATGGTTCGTGGGTTCAAGCCCTGTGTGGGGCTCTGTGCTGACAGCTCAGAGCCTGGAGCTGCTTCCAATTCTGTGTCTCCCTCTCTCTCTGACCCTTCCCCCACTCATGCTCTGTCTCTCTCTCTCTCTCAGAAATAAGTGAAAAAAAAAATCACATTAAAATTTTTAAAAAAAATTCACAAACATAGGGGTCAATCCCAGTGAAAACACCGGTGAGCGTCTGTGTGGGGTGTCGGGGCCGGACAACTGGCCCCCAACGCAAGGGAGGCACAGGTGCGCCCGAGCAGCCACGACAGGCACAGCCTCTGCGGCCACATGGCCCTGCAGCTTTCCTCACAAAGAAACAAATGGTCCAGGGGCACCTGGGTGGCTCAGTCAGTTGAGCGTCCGACTTCGGCTCAGGTCATGATCTCACAGTGTGTGAGTTCAAGCCCCGCGTCGGGGTCTGTGCTGACACCCCAGAGCCTGGAGCTGCTTCAGATTCTGTGTCTCCCTCTCTCTCTGCCCCTCCCCTGCTCATGCTGTCCCTCTCTCTCTCAGAAATAAATAAAAAAATATTTAAAAAAAAAAAAAAAGAAAGAAACAGTCCAGAGACAGACCCTGCATGCACGATACAGGACACAGGGACTCTGAGGGGCCAGGCAGGCTTGTAACCCACGGGAAAGTGACAGCCGCTGACCGCCGGAGGAAGGTAAGGAGATTCCACCTCATCCACTGACCCAGGGGACCTGCCCTGGAGGGTGCCCTGGACCCTGACATAAGCCCAGCAACAGATGGGCATTCTTTCAGTGATTTCCTGGCTCTGGACCAGCTCTCTCCCCTCTTCGGGTGAGCTGGTGGGGGAAACCAAGGTGCCCACAACCTTGGCTTGGCCAGGTTGAGGCTGCCAGGCCGAGCGTCTGGTGGTCCGAGGGCCTCCAGCAGGCTGCCTTCTGGGAGGTGTGTGCCCTGCCTCGGCCGGGCCCCCCGCAGACTGAGTCACTCGGGGCCGGCTCTGCTGAAGGACACGGTCAGGCCTCTTCCTAAGTGCCCAAGCCCCACAGAGCTCAGGTCTTGTTCAAGACAACAGTCAGCAGCTGCGGAGGCCCTGCCTGCAGCTGGACAAGAGTTTGCCCCCGGGGCGCCAGCACCATTCACAGCCACCAAGGCCCCGGGAAAGACCCCTTCCCAAAGGGTGTGCGGGTGGCGCTCGCTCAATGGAGGGCTGTGCCGACAACTCCCTCTTGGAGAGCTGGACCAGCGGCGTGAGTGGCCTCTCCCCCACGGGATGGCTCGGAGCCGCGGGGCCCTGGTCTGCGGGGAACGCGAGCGGGCAGTACACGGCAGCAGTGCCCGCACGGAGGAGGGAGCCGCGGTGGGCGCTGCCCCAGGACCCTGGCTCCTTCTCCCCCTTCGCAGGTGACAACTTGGTGTCCCCACCCCATACTCTTGCAGGCTCAGGGCACGTTCTCACGCACACTGTATGCCAGCCGCCTGCGCAGAGGACATCAAATCTTTGTTTTTTTTTTAGAAGGAGGTTCCACGGGGCGCCTGGGTGGCTTGGTCGGTTAAGCGTCCGACTTTCGCTTAGGTCATGATCTCACGGTTCGTGGGTTCGAGCCCCGCGTCAGGCTCTGTGCTGACTGCCAGCTCAGAACCTGGAGCCTGTTTCAGTCTGTGACTCCCTCTCTCTCTGACCCTCCCCTGCTCACGCTGTCTCTCTCTCTCTCCTAGAAATAAAACATTAAAAATAAATAAATAAATAAAAATAAAAGGAGATTCCACACCTACTTGTGGGGCTTGAACTCATGGTCCCGAGATCAGGGGTCACACGCACACTAAGCCGGCTGGGCACCCCAAGGTGACCTTTGTTTCTTTTTTTTTGTGTCCGTGTATTTGTTTTTGAGGGGAGGGGCAGAGAGAGGGGGAGACACAGAGCCAGAAGCCGACTCCAGGCTCTGAGCTGTCAGCACAGAGCCCGACGCAGGGCTTGCACTCGGGAATGACGGGATCATGACTTGGGCCGAAGTCAGATGCTTGACCAACTGTGCTGCCCAGGCGACCCCCAGGGTGACATTGCCTAGTCACGGGTGTGCACGAGGGCCCAAAGGTGGCAGGGATCTGAAGAGCATTATCCTTACCAAGTGGTCCTGCTACACGGCAAACCCCAAACAATATGGTATAGCGGAGACATCAGCTTTCCTGCACTGCCTACTCTCGGGGGGCTTCCTCACCACCTCCTGAATGCGCACCCTTCCCCACTGGCTCCACAGCAGAGCCCCCAGCTCCACCACACCAGAACCTGACCAGACTAAGGGCACTGGGTGCCACGACCCTTGAGGTCAGGCGGGGAGCCCAGACCCCCAGAACGGAAGTCCACGGCTCTCAAACCGCAGTGGGTGGGCATCAGAATCATCCAGAAGGCCTGTTAGCAGCCAGCTGGGCTCCACCCTCCCTGGACACTCTGACAAGCCCCTGGTGGGGTGGTGCTGAGGGTCCAGGGGCTCAGCCCCCGCCTTTCCCCACCCTCCCTCCCCTGGCACATGTGGGCCTTGACCGCGGGCCGGCCGCATCACCAGGTGGAGCGCACCCAGCCACGGGACTTGTTACGCTGCACGGTCCCAGGCAGAGAGGACCGGTGAGGCCGGCGGTTCTGAGCCCTACATCGATAGCCCCCGAACCGCTCTGCTTGGTACGTGAGCCGCCCCTCTCTCTCCGCCAGGCACACCCCGTTCCCCCAGCTGCCCCGTATGAGGCTGGCCCACAACAGATGCCGTGGAGCTGGCCAGGCCGTGGTGAAGGCTCTCTCTGTCCTGGCCTCTGCCCATGGTGCCCACGGGACCTCTGCACCCCAGCCTCCACCAGAGCCGCCAGCACAGCCGGCCAGCACCCCCTCCTCAGGGGCCCGGCCCCTCCCCCAGCTCCTAGGTTTGAACCATTCCAGCTCCCTCCCCGCCCCCTTCCTACCGGTGCCCTTCTTTGTTTCCCCAATCTTCACGTTAAACTCTCTCAAGATGGGTCTCCTCTGCTTTTCTCACCTTCTGCCTTCTCACCTCCGGGGTGGGGCGGTGGTGTCACAGAAGCCCACGGTTAATTCTAAGGTGCTGACATTGAAAAACCAAACACAAGTGCAAACTCTGGGCTTCAGAGGCCAAAGGCCCTGCGGCACGGACCCTCCGCAGACAGAGCGCGGGATCCGCGGCCAGCACCCGCTGGCACCACCCACAGGGACGCCCAGTGCACAGCCACCTGGATGGCCGAGGGCCTGCTCTGCGGCACCAGACTCGCCAGACTACTCCCCTGCGCGCACACGTCCCAGGTCTCCGCTCCAGCCATGGCCGGGAGGCAGAGTGTCGAGGTTCCAAGCCGCTTTGTTCAGTGCTCAGAGTACGCACACTCAGCAGTCTCTGGGCTAGTCACCCGGGCTCCTGGCACCCTCTGCCTGCCCTGGAGCCCCGCGGGACAGGGTCCTCACCTGTTCTTTCCACGAGAAAAGCGTGAGGGCCCAGGACCCGAGGGGAGCCGCGGGGGTTGGCACACCGTCCCGACTCCAACCCCGCGCTCCTGTCCAGGGTCCAACTGGCCTCCACGCCTGGGGTTAGAAAACACGGGAGTCCTGGGGCGCCTGGGTGGCTTAGTCGGTTAAGCGTCCGACTTTCGCTTAGGTCATGATCTCGCGGTTCGTGGGTTCGAGCCCCGCGTCGGGCTCTGTGCTGACTGCCAGCTCAGAGCCTGGAGCCTGTTTCAGTCTGTGACTCCCTCCCTCTCTGACCCTCCCCTGCTCACGCTGTCTCTCTCTCTCTCTCTCCCCTAGAAATAAATAAAAAAAAAAAAAAACATTTAAAAAAAAAAAAAAAGAAAACACGGGAGTCCGAACCACAGCTGTGAGTCTCTCCCCTTCAAATTCTGTGGCCCCGGGACACCAGTGTGAGCACAGAGCCTCCCCCTCCTTCTCTGCAAGCAGAGGGCCAGGGGCGGGGTGCATGACACAGCAGCAGCCGGTGCAGACGCGGCAGGATCGACACACAAGCCCTGTCCCAGAACCCCCTCCTCTGCGTCCCTGCGGTCACCGCCACCTGGGCCACAAACCCGTGAGCGCGTTCTTCTGAGCAAGTGGGGTGTCGGAGCGCTGCTATGACAATCCATGGTGACCCAAGCCCATGCTGCAGCGGCCACTCGGGAGAGCCGCCTGCCCCTCCGAGGGGAGCAGGACAAAGCCGGCCGTCCCGGGAGGAGGCGCGGGGGAGAGGAGAGCCCCAAAACCTTGCAGCCGTGGGCATGTCCTCTACCAAGCCAGTGACAAGCCGTCTCAGAAAAGAAACGACAGAGAGCCTTCATAGTGAAAACTGTCACACAAGCCGATTTTCTGGACTCTGGTGACAATTTCACGGGTTTTGCTGGCCGCTGGGGGACCCGGGGAGGGTGGGAAGAGGCCAGGGCTCTAGAGCGCAGGGCTCAGAGGAAGCCACCAGAGGTGAGCCCTCTGCAGGCACCTGGGCTGGCGGGGCCGGGCCCCTCCTTCACGGCACAGAAAACCCAGGGAGTCCGTGCAGGGTGCCGGACACGATCTCGGGGAGGCTGTTCCCGGCTGGGGACGGGGACGGGGATGGGCAGCACGGCCCCCTGAGGCCCAGGCTCGCACAGCTGGGGCCGCTCTGCTCTCCCGCAGGAGGGAAGGAGAAGGTTCCTTACACTGGGTCTCGGACATCCCTCGTGATTCGGTAATTCCAGTCTCGGAAAACTTCGTTTTCCTTGTCAAACTCCCGTTCGTCTTCGCCGATGGTCACCGTAAACCTTTTCTCTTCAAAATCAGGCTCCTGTTCTTTTCGAATGGTTGCTTTTTTTAAAACCTACCATCATAAGAAAGAAGAAGTCAGACCAGTCAGCATCAGGAGAGGCACGGGGAAGTCTGTCCCGAGCAGACCCCAGCGCCCAGGCCAGGGCGGCAGCGGCGGCGGAGTGGCTTGGGGTCTGGGTCACACCGGCTCTGCGCCGGCAGTCAGGACAGGCCCCCCTGGCAGTGCCGTGGCGCTCGCTTGCCTTCTGGAGAGGGGGACAGGGCCCGCCACCTCCTGAGCCAGGGAGCCCCAGACACTCATTTGTGACGAGGCCCGCGGTGGAGAGGAAGGGGCGTGGTTCTGGTGTGAGAGGGCTGGGCTGTGCACTGAGCCAGGCAGGGGAATGGCCTTGTTATATTCTGTCGCCTCATGGACAGAAAGCAAAGCAGGGACTGGAGGAGCAGGCCTGGTGCCACTAGACCACGAGCCTGATGGCCACAGCCACGGGACAGCTCGGAGGGAGAGAGGGCGGGTGTCGGTGATCACCACGGCCGTCTCAGGAGGGGACAGCACCTCTGCGCACGGGCCTTGGCTCTAGGGGCCAGGGGGCTGCAGCCCCAGCTGGGTGTGGCGGGACGCCGCCCAAGCCACGTGAAGGCAGCGCGCCTGGCCCGCCTTGGAGACCCTGACAGAGCTTTCTCAACTCTTAGGAAAGAGCTCCCTCGCTTCAGGACTTCACTGAGTTGCCAGTCGCTGTCTCGGAATCAAAACAATGCCACTCGTGCTCAAGAATTTTCCTCTCTGGCCCTCCGGTTACCTCTTTCGCGTGCCGGAGTCCTCGTTCCCAGGCACTCTCCGTGGGGGGTTCTGGGGGGGGTGGAGGCAAAATTTCATCAACTACGGGCCCACCCTAGTAAAAAACAAGAAGGGAAAAGTTGAGAAAGCAAGCAAAACCTTAAAATCTACAAAGAAATGGGAGCAAAAACACCAGCTAGAAGATTACTGGCCACACACCACCAGCTCTCCAAGCCTCAGTCTGGCTCCTGACCTGCTGCCCTGAGTCTCAGGCTACCTCATCACGGAGACATGGAAGCATCTGGAAGGCGACCCAGTGACTGTGAAGTCACAGAAATGCCTTTTATACGAGGTGCACTGATGGGCCGTGAGCGGAAGGCTTGGAGAGCTCGGCTGTCCCATCCGCCAGCAACGAAAGAAAAGAGGTGTTCACGCACCCAGGGGCTGGCAGGCATCAGCGGGTGAGGTCCAAGAGGAGGGGCACCGTTAGGCGGGAAAGGTTCGGCTTTGGTGATTAAGGAATAGTTGCCCTTGTCGTTGACTCCAGGGTGTATAAACCTGCAGTTCATTCCCCACGTGCAGTTCCCTGTGGAGACAACAGCCGGGTCAGAGAGGGGAGCGAACCGCAGCGCGCGAGGCGGCTTCCTGCCCGCGTGGCCCGCCGCGGCTCTGGGAGCGGCGGCTTCACCGGGGCCTCATGCGGTGCCACGCGGGGCGCCCTCGCCACCCCACGGCGGTGGGAACCCGCGTCCGCACGGCCCAGGGTCAGGCAGCAGGGGTGGCGGGGTCACAGCACAGGGCCGGGCCGCCCGGCTCACTCTCCACTCCACACCTGAACTGGACACAGCAACCACCGCCCGTGCCTCCAGCCTCGCAGGCCGTGCCCACGCATATGCACGCGGGCACGCGCGCGCGCGCACACACACACACTCTCCTGGCAGGCGGGCCTGGATGGGACCCGGGCCGAGGAACGTCCCAAGGGGCTGTGGTCATGCAGTGGAAGAAATGTGGCCCCCGTTCCTAAGTCGCTGTGTGAGCAGTTCATTTTCCCCTAAAAACGGGAAGAGCTCCCCGGTCGCGGGCAGCCCCGAGCTGCCTGCTCCCACGGCAGGTGCGCGTGCAGGACCCTTATTTATCCTGACTCACGAAACCACGCGTACTGATACAGCTGTCACAGAGAAGCATCAAACGCCCAGAACTGTGCCAGTCCCCCAGGCGTCTATACCTGCACTAGATGTCTGCATTTCCCCCACCAAAGCCTCCCATACCATTTCAGGACATTTCTGGACTTGAAAAATGTATTAAAGAGAAAACGGATTGACGGCCGTAATGATCTGGGTGCTTATAAAAAAACGTCATCTTTTAGAATTACCTGATGACAGAACACCAGGGTTATTCAAGGGAACTGCCTGAGTTTTCAGAGCAGAGGCAAGAAGGCCACATTTTAAATTCATCAGTAAGTGAATCAATCACTTTTTAAAACTAATTTTAGGGGGGCACCTGGCTGGGTCAGTCGGTGGAGCATGCAACTCTTGCTCTCAGGGTTGTGAGTTCGAGCCCCATATTGGGTGTGGAGAGAACATGGAAAAATTCAAAAAATAAAAATAAAAATGTAACTTTTTGAACAGTTAGCATGTATACAAGCTCAAAAATATAGCATACAATATCTAAATGGTTTAAAAATATTTTCAACAGGTTAGGGGCGCCTGGGTGGCTTAGTCGGTTAAGCGTCCGACTTTCGCTTAGGTCATGATCTCGCGGTTCGTGGGTTCGAGCCCCGCGTCGGGCTCTGTGCTGACTGCCAGCTCAGAGCCTGGAGCCTGCTTCAGTCTGTGACTCCCTCTCTCTCTGACCCTCCCCTGCTCACGCTGTCTCTCTCTCCTAGAAATAAAAAAACAAAAACAAAAACAAAAACATTAAAAATATTTTCAACAGGTTAACATGTAGTTAAAATTTAAACCATTTTTTAATATATATTCACTTTTTAAAAATGTTTGCTTATTTTGGGGGGTGGGGAAGGAAGGAGGGAATCTCAAGCAGGCTCTGCACTGTCAGCAAAGAGCCTGACACGGGGCTCCATCCCACGAACCATCAGATCATGACCTGAGCCGAAGTGAAGAATCAGATGCTTAACCGACTGAGCCACCCAGGTGCCCCTATATATTCACTTCCAAACGTGATATTCCATTTGAATGTTTCTGTCAACAGAACATAATTTTCCTTGTATAAATTACAGAGAACTAATCATTTGACATTTAGAAAAAAAGCTAAATCTACCTTTTAAACATCATGAATATTTTAACTTCTATTAAAACCAACTTAACATATTGATCTGAATTAAATGCAAAATAAAGTATGCTTAAATTACTTCTCTAGAAATGTGAAAATGACTAACTCAAAAAAATTTTTTTTTAATATTTAGTTTTGAGAGAGAGAGAGAGAGCAAGCACGAGCAGGGAAAGGGCAGGGAGGGGGGACGGAGACTCTGAAGCAGGCTCTGCCCTGACAGCAGTGAGCCTGATGCGGGGCCTGAACTCACGAACCACGAGATCATGACCTGAGCCAAAGTCGTACGCTTAACTGCCTGAGCCCCCCAGGCGCCCCTTGCTTTTGGAATTCTTGAGAGTGTATGAGAGATCACACAAAAGTCAGGGTTTGGGAAATACTATACTACAGGGGGCTCTGTACAATACTCCAGAGTCTCAGACAGGTTTAAAGAAAAAAGACTATGCAGTCCTGTATCTAAATAAAGAACTCCAAATGCCATCAAGTCCTTCGCCTTTTAAGCCTCGCAGAACTCCTCCCTCCGGCCCTCCTCACTGCTGTGCAGTTAGAGCACTACCAGCGGCTTCCTGCAGAAAACTTCCAAGCGCAGAGAAGCATTAATGTAAGCGCCAGGTTTTCTGTGACTTTTGTAACCTAAAATATGTAACTGGGAGGTGGATAAAGGAATTCATATCTGATTTTTAAACTTAAAATATTTCCAAACAAAATAAAAAACATCTCCCGTGAGCCCACAGACAAAAAAGATCTTTTACTACTGCCACAGGCAGGGGGAGAAAAAAGAAAAGAAATCAGATGGGAACGCAGGGGTGAGAGCAGCGGCGTGTGCCCGGTGCATCTCCGGCGGGTGACCGCAGCCTGTCCTCCTGGACCCTCTGCTCCAGGTGTGAGAAGACCCTTGCTGGCCACCAAAGACAGGGTGAAGGCTGCCCCGGGCAGAGGCGGGGGGGCCCAGCGGCACGGCCAGGACAGGCGCCCAGCACGCGCACACAACCCGGCAGCAAAGGCGGTGCGCTCCCAGTGGCCTTTTTACTTAAGGTTATATTCTCAAGCGATCTCTATACCCAACACGGGACTTGAGCTTAACACCCCAAGATCAAGAGTCGCACGCTCCGCCAACTGAGCCAGCTGCCCACTAGCCTTTTTCAAAGTGAATTTTTGTGTAGAATAAAGCCTGGAAAGACACCCCGAATTGCTGCATGGGAGAAAGACTCTTATCTGAGCCTGGGGGGCTCAGTTGTTTAAGCGTCTGACTTCGGCTCAGGTCATGATCTCCCGGTTCGTGGGTTCGAGCCCCACGTCGGGCTCTGTGCTGACAGCTCAGAGCCTGGAGCCTGCTTCAGATTCTGTGTCTCCCTCTCTCTGACCCTTCCCTGCTCACTCTCTGTCTCTCCCTCTCTCAAAAATAAACATTAAAAAAATTTTTTTCTCAATTACCACTGAAATGAGGGCAGAATATGTAACAATCTAGTAATTAATATGAAGAACAAACCTAAAAGCTCCAAGTGTGCACTCTAACGGGCATGGAGCCCAACAAACCTTTGCCTGCAAGTTTTTACCGGCAGCAAACACGACCTCAGGAGCACTTTCCTCTGTCATTCCGCTTGCGCCCAGTCACCGCCAGCAGTGTTCCGGGATATTTTAGATTCTCTACGGAGCGTGGTCACTCGGGCGACTAGAATACTTGAGTACTATCTGGGCTGCTTTGTAAATAATGGAGATCTGAAGCCAGCGGTTCTTTAACTTTCAGATCTTAGGACCCAAAGAGTCACAAATGGGTTTTATCTATTGGCATTTACTACAGAAACGTAGTGTACGAAACGTGAAGATATAATGTATGGCACGTGTACTTATGTTAACGATGTTAACATAGGTGTGTTATGAAAAATAACTTTTTAAAAATATTTTAATGTTCTATGTATTTCTTTTTTTTTTTTTTTATTTATTTCTAGAAGAGAGAGAGAGACAGCGTGAGCAGGGGAGGGTCAGAGAGAGAGGGAGTCACAGACTGAAGCAGGCTCCAGGCTCTGAGCTGGCAGTCAGCACAGAGCCCGACGCGGGGCTCGAACCCACGAACCGCGAGATCATGACCTAAGCGAAAGTCGGACGCTTAACCGACTAAGCCACCCAGGCGCCCCAATGTTCTATGTATTTCTGAGAGAGAGAGAAAGAGAGACAGAGCACGAGCAGGGGAGGGGCAGAGAGAGAGGGAGACACAGAATCTGAAGCAGCTCCAGGCTCTGAGCTGTCAGCACAGAGCCCAACGTGGGGCTCGAACCCACGAACCGCGAGATCATGACCTGAGCCGAAGTCGGACGCTTAAATGACTGAGCCACCCAAATGCCCATAACTGTATTTTTTTTTTAATGTTTTATTTATTTCTAGGAGAGAGAGAGAGACAGCATGAGCAGGGGGAGGGTCAGAGGGAGAGGGAGTCACAGACTGAAAGAGGCTCCAGGCTCTGAGCTGACAGTCAGCACAGAGCCCGACGCGGGGCTCGAACCCACAAACCGTGAGATCATGACCTGAGCGAAAGTCAGACGCTTAACCGACTAAGCCACCTGGGCGCCCCGCCCATAACTGTATTTTAAAAATAGTGATATGATCATTATTTTTTTCCTGTAAACCTCTTCTTTTTATGTTTGTTTATTTTGAGAGACAGCAAGAGAGGGAGAAGAGGGAGGGAGGAGGAAGAGGGGCAGAGAGAGGAACGAGGAGACAGAGAATCCCAAGCAGGCTCCATGCCATCAGTGTAGAGTCTGACTCAGGGCCCAAACTCGGAGCTGTGAGATCACAATGTGAGCCGAAATCCAGAGTCGGATGCTTAGCCAACTGGGCCGCTCAGGCCCCTCCTTTTCGCAAACCTCTGGAGCCCCGCCATTAAGCAGAAGACAGCCGCTCTCTCCTGCCTGCTGCTGAGTCTCTGCGGCGAGGTCCTGCTGCGGCCGAGCAGGTGAAGAGCACGCAGCCTCAGGTGGAGATGCGGCTGGATGTGGGAGGGGACTCGCAACCTTCGAGGAGACTCTCGTGTTCTTGATGTTTCACCGACCTGGTCGAGCAGAGGCTTCTCAGCCGTTAGTTGCCACGTGGGGGCCCAGAACCCTCTCGCTGAGCGCTTCCAACTGCACTACCGACGCCCGTGGTCTATCTTGACCCGTGAGTGGCCCTTCTGCCCAGAGAGGACTTTGCAACACCGGGCGACGGTCACTTGGAAGTCGCCAAATGCTGCAGGCGGGGACTCAGGCCCTCCAAGGCTCCGATTCCCACCTGAGAGCCCGGCCCTCGTCATTAGCATCCGCTGCCGTCAGCTGCTCCCCAGGAGGCAGCAGACTCTGCTCCGCTCTGACCACGCTTGGTTCCGGGTCGCCGTGCCCGTCTCTACACGCAGGCCTGTCAGCCCAGCTCACGGCGCAGACTGCGTGCGCCCTCCTGGAGAGGACGTGTGGGCCTTGCTGTGGCAGAGGCGCTCTGGAGTGCTCCCAGAGCGTCTCGCTCAGCGTGCAGACTGCAGGGTCTTGCGGGTGATGGGTGTCACGTGACTGGATTGCGTGGCAGCCACACGACTTGGTAAATTTCATAAAAATCACTGAATTGCACGCTTAAAACAGGGAAATTATCTGGCATGGAAATTACATCTCAATAAAGTTGCATTTTTAAAAAACGACCTGTACTCAAGCATGAGATAACTGTCCCTACTCTGTGACAGACACCATTAATGAAACTGCGGTTGTGGCTCCGAGTACGGGGCAGCGCCAGACTGCTCATCACAGCATCACCAAGGTAGTTTTGACCTCAGGGTCCCTGGAAAAGAGTCTCAACAACCGCAAGGGGTTCATAGGCCACATTTTAAGACCTGCTGCTTTAAACATAGAAGAGAAAACAGAGATTCCCAAGCGGGCAACAGCCCATCTCCAAGGAGGGCGTCCTCTTCAAACAGCCAATAAGCACATGGAAAGATTCTCACTGGCGCTGATCACCATGGAAACGTAAAGCACAACCACAAGGAGACAGCACGTCGGAAAATACTCAGTGTAGGTGCGGCGGCCCTGGGGCCTCGGTGGCGGCTGCCAGGACACTGGACACGGTAAGGAGGCTCCTCAAGCAACTAAAAACAAAACCACCATCCAGTCCAGCAATTCTACTTTGGGGACACAGCCTGGGGTTTCAGGGCAGGATCCTGAAGACATGTGCACACCTAAGTCCACAGCAGCCACAAGACGGGAACAGCCCGGGGTCCACTGCTGGACGAGCAGATGAACAAAACGCAGTGGCCGCGCAGCGGAGGCCCAGGGCCTCGAGGACACTACGCGAAGGGAAGTCACTATGCGAAGTGAAGTACGGTAGCCACATAAGGACAAGTACCAGGGCACCAAGAGCAGCCAAATTCACAGACGGCAGAGTGGCGCTCACCAGGGCAGGGGGAGGGAGGGAAGGGAAGTTACTGTTTAGTGGCCACAGAGTTCCGGTTTTACAAGACGGAGAATTTTAGAGATGATGGTGGTGATGCCTGTGTGTGAATGTATTCAATGCCACAGGGCTGTGCATTTAAAAATAGTTAGGATGGGGGGGGGGGCGCCTGGGTGGGTCAGTTGGTTAAGCGTCTGACTTTAGCTCAGGTCATGATCTTGCGGTTCCTGAGTCTGAGCCCCGCGTCAGGCTCTGCGCTGACAACTCAGAGCCTGGAACCTGCTTTGGATTCTCTGTCTCCCTCTCTCCCTGATTCTCCTCCACTTATGCCCTCCCCCCAAAAAAACCATTAAAAAATTAGTTATGATGGTAAATCGTGTTGGGGGGTGGGTAGGGAGGAGAGAGGGAGAGGAAGGGAGAGAAAGAAAAGAAGAAGCAGAGACCAGGAGGTCTGGCCCACAGAATGGGCTGGGTGCTGCTGACAGCTGGCCCAGCCAGAAACCCAAAGTAGAACATAGTTTAAAGGAAATGTTATTTACGCTGCTGCAGGTAGAACTTCCTGTCTTGATGATTTAACGTAAATACACTAGAGGTAAAAATATATCACAAAGCACTGGCGCTTAAAGACGTTTCAATTTATATTCCTAAGTACATTTTGTTGCCAATGGTCACAAATATCAATGTATCCATTTGGGCAATTAATGATTAATCTGTGGGTATCTTTTAATAGAAACAGAACTAACATACTTTCTTAGGAAGAAACTTCATATTGAGATACAATTTACATGCCATAAAACGTCCCAATCTAAAGCGCACGACTTAGCAGGTTTTAGCGCACGTGCACAAAGCTGTTCAGCCATCGCCCTAGAAGGAACCCTGTGCTCAAGGGCGGGCGCCTCGGCTGGATGACGGCTGACCCAGCTCCTGCCTCTCTGGTCTGCTCTGCACAGCTGGCACCCGAGGCCTTCTGTGCCCGGCTTCTCTCACCCGGCATGACGTCCTCAGAGCTCACCCACGCTGAGGGACCCGCAGGTCACCCCTCCCGTGGTGATACTGAGTGATCCTCCACCGCGCAGACAGACCTCACGGTGCTTAACCACTTGTGAACCGACAGACATGGGCGCCGTTTGCACTTGTTGGCTATTTTGAACGCTGCTGGTATGAACGTTCATGCACAAGTTTGGTGTGGACATGTTTTCATCTCTCTTGGATGGAGACGGAGAGGCAGAATCGATGGGGCACGCAGGGCCCCGCGCTCGGTCCGCAGGAGCCGCGACTGTCCTCCGGCAGCTGCACCAGGTCGCGTCCCCACCGGCAGGGTGCGAAGGCCCTGTTTCTCCACATCTTCGTCAAATACGACAAACTCTTTAATTTTTTGAAGAGACTTCTCTTGCGACTGGAGGGAACTTACATGGATTCATCTCAATTTAACACCAGGCTTATAAATTGCAGGTAAGCAAAAACATTTTCTCCCAAAAACTTTCTCAAAAAACAAAAGGTGCAAGATGTGCTGCGGCACACCCCAAGAATCAACCATTGCTTTCCACACTGCGCCCCGCCGCGGCGCAGAGTAACTGGGGAATCCAGGAGCAAGGTCAACGTACACTCAAAAACAGGCCGAGAGAAGTTGCTGATTACGCCCAGTCGAGTCACCAAGAAGCCCGGGTGCCGCGAGCCTCAGGCTGCCGTGCGGAGCCCTGCGCTGGCCCAGCCTCTGAAACCCGAGCTGAGCGTTCTGGAGGCCGCCTGCCCTCCCTCCCACCGCGAGGCAGCCCTGCGCCTCCAGCGAGGCACCTCCCGCGGATCCTCGGCTGTGGTCCCAGCACGACTTCATCGGTCTGTGCGCATCTGTGGCTAAATTCCGGACACGGCCTCGGTGCTGTGACCCCCATGGCTCCTGGACTGGAGCCTGGGTGGGAGCTCCCACCTGCACGGGCCGGCCAGGCTTCTGCACAGTTGGACAAAGGAGCCAACCGGAGATGACGGTGCGCGCATCTATGCGTGGCCGCGTGTGTCTCCTCGGTAGGGTCCTGAGGTGGACGACATTTATTCCCCCGTAATTACGGAAAAGAGGTCTTCTGCTTAAAATTTTCTGAAATATTGATATTTCAAATGCCAAAGCTTGTAAAGAACCGCTAAGAAGCTACTTTCCGAAACACAGCACACACTCGTGTGCATCCTCAGGGTGGTGACGCGTCCACCAGACAACTGCCAGCCACCCTCCTGAGGACCAAGCCCGTGCTGCACGGCGGACCCGCCACATGCATGTCTGACTCACGAGTCCATGTATCTCCGCTTGGCAGAAACAACACAAACATTGGGCGCCTGGCGGGCGCAGTCGGTTAGACGTCTGACTCTTGATTTCGGCTCGGGTCATGATCTCGCGGTTCATGAGTTCCAACCCTGAGCCCCGCGTCGGGCTCCATGCTGACTGTGGAGCCTGCCTGGGCTTCTCTCCTTCCTCCCCCTGGCTCTGCCCCTCCCCAACCCGCTCGCTCTCTCTCTCTCTCTCAAAATAAACTAAAAAAACAAACCAAAACAAAACCACGCAGGTACACAGCACAGGCCAGGGCCACACGTCCCGAGGAGCGAGCTGACCTGGGTCCCGGGCATGCTGGCTCCTCAGTTCCTGTGCACCCTCTGCGTCACATCACCCTGGGTCTAGGGACAGGGCCTGTCCTCTTGGGAAGACGGGACTCCACCGTGCCCCTCCTGTCCCACCCGTCTCCAACCCCCACTCCCCGCGACCCACAAAGCCCCGTGAGCCTCATCAAGTGCCACTAAGAACTGGGATCCACAACCGCTCTCTGCCCCTCAGAGCCTCCCCCTTCCTTCTGGCTTCACATCAGTATTCTGGATCCAGGAGAAAGAAGTCTGGCCTCCGGAGCAGAGAGTGAATCCCGTATACTCTGTACCTTTAACCTGGCCTCTGACTGGTAAGGAATGTGATATTGGTGGAAGAGGAGTGGACAAGGCTGTCACAACATCTGGAAGAGAAGTACAGGAAGCGCTTGTGAAATTCAGAGCGCACACGCAGGCCGGGCCGGCGAGGCTAAGACAAAGACAAACCGCTTCCTACCTGTGCAAGGACCGCGCCCACACTACTGCCGCCCGGCACAGAGACCCTTACGGACCGGGTTCTCTCCGCCACTTCCGGTCGCCCCTGTTCTGTCTCTCTGCCACCTGTCACAGCCACTTGGCCGCACCATCCACCTTCCCGGAGGAGCGACCTTGCTGCACTCAGAGGCTGTCCCTCTGCTATTTAGAAACCATTCCAAACGGAGCATGTACTTGGATACGTGCAGCAGCAGCGCAGCGGTCTGCGCAGGGCGGCAAGCGTCACGCCGGAGCCTGGGGCACGCGCCTCAGGACGGGGCCTACGCGTGCACAGGGCTGACACCGTCCGGCACGGTTACGGCTCTGCTGTCACAAGGCCCCGGAGCCACAAGGTGCCAACGGCCAGGCCAAGCCAGCCAAGTGAGGCGAGGACCAGCAAAGGGTGGTGCCCCCCCTGCCAGGGTCACGGTCCGGCCCCAAGAACTTCCCTGCACAGGCCCCCGGGCCCCGGGCAAGGCCGAGCTGCCACCGCAGTCCCAGGAAAAGCCAAGCCCACACAAGGCCCCACGGACAATTACCTTTCATGAAGAATCGGCAGGTGGGACGCGGCCTCACCTTCCTGTCGCTAGGGTCCTTTACTTCACCCTCCTCCAGATCATCATCCTGAAACAGAGGACAATGTGACTTAAAAGGGAATCACTTTATCGAGAGACAGGAGGTGGGAGGGCAGTCAACACGCACGGCTGCCCCAGGACAGAGGGGGCGTTTCCGTGAGACCGGCGTTTCGGCCGCTCGGCGGTTCAGTTTCCAAACCCTCACGGGGCATGCCAGAGCTCACCTGCAAGACCTGGCACCCCACAAAACACCAACTAAAATGCTCCGTGACGCACATGATGCTCAGTACAAAGCAAGCTTCACCGTACTCCCTGCATCAGCAAGGCTGGGCGGGAAATGGTTCCAGTTTACGTTTTCAGTACCTTGTGCGTTTAAACAGTATTCATAGGGGCACCTGGGGGGCTCAGTCGGTTAAGTGTCCGACTTCGGCTCAGGTCATGATCTCACGGTTCGTGGGTTCCAGCCCCGCGTCGGGCTCTGTGCTGACAGCTCAGAGCCTGGAGCTGCTTCGGATTCTGTGTCTCCCCCTCCCTCTGCCCCTCCCGTGGTCCAGCTTTGTCTCTCTCTCAAAAACAAAAATAAATGTTATAAAAAAAAACCAGTATTTAGAAACCAAAATATTTTGTTCTTAAGACTCAACACTAATGTCCTCTAACTTAAGAGTCTAGGGGTGGTGGGGAGGGAGGTCAGGCTCAGACCCAGACCCCTGCCTTCTCAGTCCAGAGCTCCTAACCTTGGCCGTCGAGCTTTAGTGTGATGTGGGAACTTCACGAACGCCAAAGCCTGGGTGGTTTACGCGCCAGGAATTCCAAAGCATAGCCATGACCTAGACGACTGCTCTGCCCTATCCACCCTTGCTACCCCGGGGCCTCGGTCACCACTGACCTGCAGAGACACTCCCCTGTGCCCCTCGGGGGAGATGCCATCCCCAGGGGTCGCCGCCCCAGCCCCAAAGCGGGTATGCAGGTGCCCTGCTGACATCTTTGCTGGGGGGTCCCAGCTGAAGCTCCTCACTGGCCCCATGTTCTACCTAGCCTGTTCCAGGACGCCCCACGACAGTCAACCCAAGGGGTCAACGAAGCACCCCCCCACCCCCGCATCCAAAGTATTGCCCAGTCCCACCTGGCCTGGGGGCCACTTCCTAACTGGTGCCCCCAACTCTCCCAGCTCCGCACGGGCCGTGACGTGCAGTGACCTTTGTAAAGCCGGCCCGTGTTCTTCCTTCTCCACTTCTGCTACCGTGTGGCTCACCTCATTTTCAGATGGTGGAGGAGTCTCCTTCCTCAGGACCCCCCCCGCCCCGGCTCCCCCCACCACGGGTCACAACCACCATGGCCCTGTCTGACTGAACGGGGCCTCCACCAGGCAGGACTGTCACCGGTCCAAGCTCTGTGCTGGGCTTATAGCAAATGGTTGGCAAGCATTTGTTGAATGAAAAATAGTAAAGTCAAGCCCTGGATTTACGATGGCTTATCTTTAAAGCTTAAATCTTTGTATAATTTCTGCCTTAAAAATATTTATTGAAAAAGCATTTTCTAGGAGTGCTTGGGTGGCTCAGTTGGTTGAACATCACACTCTTGATGGTGGCTCAGGCCGTGATCTCACAGTTGTGGGATCAAGCCCTGTATTGGGCTCTGTGCTGTCAGTGCTGAACCTGCTTGGGATTCTGTCTCTCCCTTTCTCTGCCCTTCCCCCAGTCATTCAAAATAAACAAACTTTAAAAATTAAATAAATAATAAAAAACTAAAAAGAAAAAAAGAAAAAAGACTTTCATCTAAAACAAACATCAAAAAACTCGACTGTGTAAACAACGGTAACACAGCTTGACTTCTCTGTGCAGGCCTTTATTTTGTTTTAATAAAAACAAACCAGAACATAAAAGCCAATGCCTGACTATTACTTATATGACAAGAACCATGTGCACCCCAGCAGCCCTGCACTAAGGGCGGGTGAGTGGGCACCCATGACGGCGCCACGTGGGGAGGCAGGTGTGCCACACGGGCACCAGAGCAGAGGCCTGTGTGCCGCCCTGGTGCTGCATCTGTAAAATGGGGGTGACGATACTGGTCTACGATCTCTTGGGGCCAGATGTGTTTTGGGGATTCAGGAATGTTCTGGTTTTAGAAGGTGATGTAGCAGGGGTCAGAAGAGCAACCAGGAACGGACACAGTCATCCTGTGGGGGACGCCTGACCAGCCACACCAGGGACCACCAACAGCCTTGCGTCACGTGGGGCAAGGTCAGCCACCGGGCGAGCAAGGAAACACGTCCATTCTCAGAGCCCCTGAAACCCTGGGCTCAGGGTAAGGGCTGTGGCCTGCACTCATCACGTGGCTAATCTGGCGTGGACTCTTTGCTCAAATGCAGGGCAGGTGGCTGCTTCTGAGGCTTCAGCAAGGCCATGAAGCAGAGGAGAGCAGGGCCCCGCAGAGAGCGAAAACCTGAGCCGCCAGAGGGAGTGTACAGAGCACCACCTTTTGTAGAAGAGATCACATATCTAGACATAAAAGGAACAAGTAGGGGGGCGCCTGGGGACTCAGTCGGTTGAGTGTGCCCCTTCAGCTCGGGTCACGATCTCACGGCTTGTGGGTTTGAGCCCCGCATCAGGCTCTGTGCTGACAGCTCAGAGCCTGGAGCTACTTCGGATTCTGTGTCTCCTTCTCTGCCCCTCCCCCACTCACACTGTCTCTCGAAAATAAACATTAAAAAAAATTTTTTTTAAAAAGGAACATGTGGATTTGAATAGGAGAAAATATATAATGCTACCTGCAAAGAAGACATTTCAAAGTATTTTTGTACGTGTGGGGGCCCAAGAGGAGTCCCATGGACTGTCCACTGGGGACGGGACGTGGCTGCTGTCCTGCGGTCTGAGAGGCCACCTTGCCAGTGTGAGTGACGGACGAAAGCAGGTTTGGAACAAAATACATAGTCCACCCTTTCCCACATGGATGGCACCAAAGGACACATAACGTACAAACCAGAACAAAACACATGAGCAAAGGGAAGGACGGACACACCAGAAAGGGGGGACTTGAGTCGGGAAAGGCACACTGAAGACCCACAAATACTCATCTGAGTGTCCCTCGAACCCCGATGGAAGGAAGGGTCATGGCCAGAGTCGGCAGGTGCAAGAGGAAGGAAGCTCACACAGCAGGGCCCCACCCACTCCTGAGAGCCGCAGAGGCCAAGGCAAAGCCACAGGTACGGCCGGGTTAAGTGTGGCTTCCACAACAGGTGAGAGACCACCGATTAAGCAAGGCTCTCAGGGGACAGGCCGTCAGGGACCCCCGGCCTTCACCCCACAAACAAGCCAGGGTGCCTGTGTGGGAAATCCCACCTTCCACCACCCCCTCACAGGCGCAAAGCGCCGTTTCCAGAGCTGTATCTGTATCTGAAGGTACTTTGGCAGCACACCAAACGCATATAAATGTAAGTCAAGGTCTTGGTCACAGACTGTGAGGTTTAGACTAAAGAATTTTAATGGCCGGAGCGTCTGGTGGCTCAACTGGTTAAGCGTCCGACTTCGGCTCAGGTCATGATCTCACGGTTTGTGGGTTCAAGCCCCACGTCGGGCTCTGTACTGACAGCTCAGAGCCTGGAGCCTGTTTTGGATTCTGTGTCTCCCTCTCTCTCTGACTCTCCCCTGCTTACGCGGTCTCTCCCTCAGAAATAAACAAAAAAACATTTTTTAAAAAATTTTAAAAAAAAAGAATTTTAAGGGCCTACTCCTCCACATATCAAGTCACAAGTCCCAAGGACCCAACATCTAAAAGGGGGAGAACGAGAGAAGCGCGTGGCTGTAGCCTCTTCCACTCGGCTGCTCTGGCACCTCAGGGCCGGGAGGCTGCAGGGAGGAGGGGCAGGCGTGCGGGAGGGGCCTCTGGACGGGGAGCCTGATGGGCACGGGGAGCCTTAGGGACAACAGCAAATGCAGATCCTCGAGGTGGAAGCCAAACCGCACATTTCCTCCTCAGAAAACACCCAGGCAGCTCACCTGTGATACGGGCGGGCTTGAAAGCAATGGGGAAACCCCCTCGGGGACGCGCACGCTCCGCGAGGCCAGAGGCGACTTTGCAGGGGTTACTGAAGGGCCCCCGCCAAAGGCCTGGCGAAGGCAGGCCGTTTCCAGACCCAAGCGAGGACCCGGGGCCGGGAGGGGAGATGGCACAGGACCGGCCGCATCTAGGACAGGGCGGCATCTCGGCAGCGACGGGCTGCAGCTGGGAGCAGGCACACCGGCGGCGGCGGGGGGGGGGGGCGGGCCCGGCGCTGGAGCCGCCCGTGTGAACGGCCCTCCGGGGCGGACCTTCCTCTGCCTCTGCCACTCTACGTTTCGAGGGCACTCAACTTCCACGTACCCCAAAGTAATGGGGGTTCCGTCTCTCCGCTCGGGGGGCCGTGACTGGCTGCCCACAACGGGCCTGTTCTCACGAGACAGAGACGAGCCCGCCGACCAGGTGCGGTCAGACTGCGCAAGGACAACAGTCCGCAGCCAGGGGAACAGTCAGGGCAGGGGCAGAGCCCACGGAAAGGAAGCGACACTCACGCTGCCAGTTACACGGCCGAGCGTGGCCAGGCACGGACAGGGGCAGAAACCAGCAGAGGCGCCCGCAGGGGCCACGTGTGCTCCTGCCACCATTCACGGGACCCGCCCTCTACTTGTTGAGGTCTGTCTCCAGGCAGGGCTCGATCCCCGCTCTGCCCGGTCACAGGCCCAGCCCACCACGGGGCCGCCGGCGCGGTGACGGAGAGGCACAACGTGTGCGCGGTGCCGGAAGGAGACTGGTTCTGCGTGGCTGAACGGAGCTGTCCCCAAGTCTCCTCAGCAGCGCTGCTCCCAGCGAGGCTGGGGGCCCTCATGACAGGGTGCGATGGGAGCAAGCGGCCGGCCAGCCAAGCACAGGACCCTGGCGGGGCGAGAAAGCCAAACTAGGTTCTTACTCCACGTGCTTTTTATAGGGCAACCAGCCAATCTCCAGACAACGGCAAAATTTTCCAGGGCTGCCTCAGCTCAACCCGAGGTCCCGCACCACCACAGCTAAGCGCGGCCGGCACACCCGCTGCTGCGGTGACACCAGGTCGCCCAGGACCTGCAGGGAGACGCCTGACCCCCTACGATCGTGGAAATGTAGGAAAGGAGCTGAGTTTCCCCCAAGACGTATTCAACAGCGGAGGCAGGAAGAACTCGCAACTGGCCCTCTCTGAATGGGGATGGGTGGCCAAGGAGGCCCGGGCCACTGTGTCCTGGTAATCGGGACCTCCCTCGTTTTCTCAGGACGGAACAAAGACGGGGCTTCGCCCTGGGTAACACTGAAAAACCACACTCACAGGCGACCTCCGCCAACAACTTCATCTTCTGCCTAAGATTTCACCCAACCCTGTGGTACGTTTGCCCAAAGTGGGAAGGAAGCATGGCTGGACACCTAAGGACACTTGCATGACAACATCCTGAAGACACCCTTTAAATAAAGCAAAGGTTATTAACTGAGTTGGAAGAGAAGAGCTAAAATTCTAAGCTTGTAACCACATGACCCTCCTGCCCCCAAGTTCTGTTCTGATGAGCCACAGTTGGATACGCAATGTTTAGACCCCTATACACTTAGCAGGCACAACCAGCACTGCTGAAGACGGACAGGGCACACACGCACCAACGACCACCTGAGGCGGTGCGGTGCCCACCGCGAGCCCGCGGTTAGGTATTTAACCAGCAGCCTTTTCCTCCTCCAACCCAGAACGTTTCTGAGAGATCCCACACGCCTTTGTCCTTAATCACCCCCAATTATTTCAGTGTGCTCTGTCCCTCTCTCAACTCCTTTCAGTAAAAGCGCTGCTCAGCAGGACTTCAGGCTCTTTCTCCCCGAAACTCAACTTTTTAAAGATCATGAGTACGCAAGAAACAAGAAAACACTATGGGAAAAAGACAGTCTCTTCAACAAACGGTGCTGGGAAAACCGGACACGACGTGTGAAAGGAAAATAGGAGCACTTTCTTCCACCACACACCAAACTCTAAAAGGACGAAAGACCTAAATGTGACACCTGAACCCATACAAATCCTAGAAGAGAGCATAGGCAGTCATTTCTCTGGCACTGGCCGTAGCAACATTTTTCTACATGTGTCTCCAAAGGGAAGCAAAAGCAAAAATAAACGGCTGGGACTACATCAAAATAGAAAGCTTCTGAACACCAATGAAAACAATCAACAAAACTAAAAGGCAACTGATGGAATGGGAAAAGATATTTGCAAATGACATAGCCAATAAAGGGTCAGTATCCGAAATATATAATATATATATATAAATTTTATATTTATACATAAGTATATAAAAAATATATAAAAATACATAAAGTACTTATAGAGATGGCTGACTGGGTCAGTCGGAAGAGCGTGTGACTCTTGATCTCAGGGTCATGAGCTCAAGCCCCACGTGGGATGTACAGATTACTTAAATAAATAAAACTTATCGGGAGCCTGGGTGGCTCAGTCAGTTGAGCGCCCAACTCTTGATTTTGGCTCCGGTCGTGATCTCGTGGTCACGGAGTCGGGCTCTGCATCAGGCATAGTGCCCACTTGGAGTTCTTCTCTCTCCTGCTGGCATGAGCGCACTCTTTCTCAAAACAAAAAACAAAAACCAAACCTTAAAAAACTCAACACCAAGAAAACAAATAATCCAATTAAAAAATGGACAGAAGATCTGAATAGACACCCGGACGGTTGACAGACACACGACAAGATCCCCCACGTCCCTCGTCATCAGGGACACACCCAGGTACAACCTCACACCTGTCAGAGTGGCTAAAATCGACAACATGAGAAATAACAGGTGCTGGCGAGGATGCGGAAAAAGGGGAACAGTGTGCACGGCTTGGGGGGCGGGGCGCACAGCCTGGTGCAGCCGCTCCGGAGAGTAGTGGAGGCTCCTCACACGCTTAAAAACGGAACTAACACCCTATGGCCCAGCAACTGCACTACTAAGTACTTACCCTCAAAATACAAAAACACTAATTCAAGGGGGGTACACGCACCCCATGTTTATTGCAGCATACTTACAATAGCTAAGCTACGGAAGCAGCTGTGGTGTCCACTGACTGAGGAATGGATAAAGAGTGTGGTACGTATATAATGGAATACTACTCAGCCATCGAAAGGGTGAAATCTTGCCATCTGCAACAATGCGGGTGGAATCAGAGCATATTAGAATAAGTGAGATCACTCAGAGAAAAGACAAATACCACGCAGTCTCACTGGCATGTGGAATTTAAGAAACAAATGAGCAAAGGGACAGAGACACTGATGGCTCCCGGGGCGGGGGAGAGGGTGGAGATGGGCGAAGGGGGCGAGGGGGCCCGAGGAGGCGCTTGGTGTGCTGAGCACCGGGCGATGTAGGAAGTGCTGAATCACTGTACTGAGCGCCTGAAACCAACACGACACTGTATGTTCACTAACTGGAACTTAAATAAAAAACTAACAGAAGAGCTAGATGGTGACTAAAGTCCTGTCAACAGGATTAGGCGTCAGGAAAACCCAGCCTATCTGTGCCTGAGATGGTGTGTCAGCAGTACCTTCTCCATGACCTGAAAGTCAAATTACTTTAATAAATTACAACCGAGTGTGACGGCTCGATCAAAAGCTCAGGTGTTCGGATGCACAGTCCCCCATTATCCATTCCTAAGAGTCTCTTCAGGGACACTTCCAGACGGGACCCTCAGGGGATGGCTGGCGGGAAGGTACAAATGCCTAAAAGAACAGACAAGGCTGGACGGAAGCTTTCTGGAGCCCATTGGCCTCGAGAACAAACAGGAACTGAAAATCCATAATGGTTTTAGTTGAACATGAACTCAACTAAGTAAGTATTATTTAAAGTAGCAAAGAGAGAAATGAGCTCCGGTTACACAAACCTAGAACTTAAGGAAAAAAAATTGGGGCTGGGCGTTCGACCGCCCTCCCAGCAGGAGCGGCAGGGTGCGAGGACCCGGCAGGCCGAGCTCTGGGCCTGCCCCCCACCCCGCCCGTTACCACAGTGGCCGCCCCCAGAGCGAACCCCCCCCCGTGACCACAGTGGCCGCCCCCCGAGCGCCCCCCCCCCCGTGACCACAGTGGCCGCCCCCAGGGC